TAGTTAACTTTTAAGGAACAATTTGATTAATTTTTACTCAATTCTAATTTTTTTCAATTTAATTAATAATAATGCTTGTAATCTGTTGCCACAATTTTATTGATTAGATAAAGCATGTTCATTTTTACAGTGAAAGTTAAAACAATCTTCAAAAACAACTATTACATTTATTCTTTCTCAATATTCTAATTTCAATATTAATAAAGATTTTCATAATGTTGCCTTTTATACAGTATAATGATCCCTTTAAATTCACTGCATCACCAATTTGATCAAAAATACATTAAAACACACAGCAATATTGTGAAACATTATTAAAATGTAATTTATTCCTGTGATCAAAGCTGAATTTTCAGCATCATTACTCTAAGCTTTAGTGTCATGTGATCCTGATTTGGAAATATTTCTTATTATTATCAATGTTGAAAACTGCTTAATATTTTTATGCAAACATTATGAAATATATTTATGTGTTCAGCATAGATAGAAAGACAAACAGCATTTATTTGAAAAATAAATCTTTTCTAACATGTCTTAACTGTGTCCCTTTTGAACAATTTAATGCATGTTTGCTAAATAAAAGTAGACATTTTTTATATATATATTTTATATATTTTTTAAAATATTACCCCAAATTTTTGCATGTGCAGAATTTCAGGCCACATGAAAAATAATCGGCCAGAACATTCCTGAATTTATATATAAAAACAGCCCCATATTTTGACCATGCTTCCGATTGTTTCTAATGCGGCCAACAACTCCAGATTTCCAGCAGGGCCTGTATCTGTGTATCTAGATCTGTGGCCAGGTGCTATGTCCTCAGGAGAAGGAAAAGGAAAAGACTTAAAGATTTTCTGGTGTTCTTGTTTTGTTCAAAGACGAACGAGGCTGATAATTTCCCTCCCACAATGCGTTTGAGCGATCATCAGCTCTGAGAAAGAGCAGGAATCCGAGGTCCAGAACCTCGGATGGGCTCCGCAGTGTTTGCGGCCTGCATCTGGATTCATTTATGTGGAGGGGTACCCTTCGTCCTCTCAGGTTGCAGGTCTGAGTGTGGGCTCTTGTTTTTGGAAATGGCTAAAGCCTGCTTGCCTGGACCTTCTCAAACTGCCTCGGCGCATCCGCCGTCCCTCCAGAGGGGCAGTTCAGCCCATCCCATATGCCCCAAAGCATGTTTAGTGTAGTCTCTCATTTGAACTGAAAGATGTTTAACAGAATCATTCAGGAGCCGGACTCCATGAGGAGTGAGTAGGTTCAGGTGACTGGAGCGTATACAGACGTGTGTGTACAAGTGTAAATGCATGGGCAATGAAATCTATAGTGAACAGCCTTTTAACTTTGTAAACAGCGCAGGCTTTTCTTTGGTCAGGTTTAAAAATCTATCTGGAAACAACAGTTGCGTACTGCTCATTTGTCCATTGTCAGAGCTCTTTATTGTTTTGCACGTTGAATTGAACCAGACTTACTAAGTTAGCTGGTGGGATGTTGTTGAAACATGTTTATTTTTGTGTCTGTCAGAGCTCATAATGCTCATTCTGCTTTTGTCAGTGAGATTCTATGTGCCATCCGAGTGTCGTGTGATTCATTTCAGAGACAGATAAAAGAGGAATTAGAGACAGACTGAAAAACAGAATAAAAGAATTTAGTGAGTAACCATCTGCAAACAAATTGTTCAATAAGGGGAAAAGCAATGGCATACTGTGCTTTTGGACCTGCAATTTAAGTTACATGTATTGTAATATGTCTTAGTGAGCTAGTTTCAGGGTTAAAAAACACACAATTTAAATAGTTGTTAGCATTACATGCTACAATTTCCTATTCAAAATATATTTACATACCAAGGATTTGAATTTGCAGTAAAGGAACTGTTGTAAGTTGCCAGCAATAAATGTATAAATAAATAGACAGACCAACTGACCGACAAATATGTAGATATATAGATAGATAGATAGATAGAGAGAGAGAGAGAGAGAGAGAGAGAGAGAGAGATAGACAAACAGATAAATAGACAGACAGACAGATAGACAGATAGATAGATAGATAGATAGATAGATAGATAGATAGATAGATAGATAAATAGATAGATAGATAGATAGATAGATAGATAGATAGATAGATAGATAGATAGATAGATAGATAGATAGATAGATAGACAAAAGACAGATAGATAGAGAGAGAGAGATAGAAAGATAGAGAAACATAGAAAGAGATAGATAGACAAGACAGACAGACAGACAGAAAGACAGACAGATAGATAGATAGATAGATAGATAGATAGATAGATAGATAGATAGATAGATAGATAGATAGATAGATAGATAGATAGATAGATAGATAAAGATGGAGGGAAACAGAGAGAGAGAGAGAGATAAAACGAGAGATAGATAGACAGACAGACAGACAGATAGATAGATAGACTGATAGATAGACAAACAGACAGACAGACAGACAGACAGACAGACAGACAGTTAGATAGATAGATAGATAGATAGAGAGAGAGAGAGAGAGATAGATAGATAGATAGAGAGAGAGAGAGAGAGAGAGAGAGAGAGACAAACAGACAAACAGATAAATAGACAGACAGACAGATAGACAGATCGATAGATAGATAGATAGATAGATAGATAGATAGATAGATAGATAGATAGATAGATAGATAGATAGATAGATAGATAGATAGATAGATAGATAGATAGATAGATAGATAGACAAAAGACAGATAGATAGATAAAGAGAGAGATAGAAAGATAGAGAAACATAGAAAGAGATAGATAGACAGACAGACAGACAGACAGACAGACAGACAGACAGACAGACAGATAGACAGATAGATAGATAGATAGATAGATAGATAGATAGATAGATAGATAGATAGATAGATATAGATCAAACAACCAACAGACAGATTGATAGATCGACCAACCAACCTGACACATGATGTAATGTCTAACTTTTCGAAGTTAAAATTTTAAAAGAAGTATAGGCTAGCTTACAGGAGGCAAACGAGCTCAAGGAGAAGTTAAATCATGTCAGTCATCCTCATCAGTGCTCGAAAGACTATAATTAAACTGTCAACATTTCAAATAGACAAAACTTTGTAAACCACATCTCCATGCCTGTGTTACTTAAAACAGAAGGTATTTAACCTCCGAGACCTCTGGAGTCCCCAGTCGCTGACCATTATTAGAGACACTCCAGTGGTAAAGAGCGACAAAGTGTTTCAATCATTTGTTTATAAGTAGTTCTATTTTTAAAACCCCTAGTTTAGACAACTGAAAATAGGAGGGTTTTGCCCCAAGAAGTCTGTCTAGCCATGCAGTCTTCTTCTTCAAAGAAGTGTTTGTCCCAGGAGAGGCAGAGGTGACCCAGGCCAAGACATGTCAAAGGTCTTCTGCTTCAGCAACTAATCCTGACTCCAAGCACAGACACGTTTTATTCATGATTTATTATATTTAGAATATATCAGCTAGTTAATAAAGGATATTTTAGGTTGTATTATTAACTATAATTATATAGTTGCTAAACATTTTAAATATATTTATTTGTTCTGTCCATATAGGGAAGTCAATGGTTACCAAAATGGTTTGGTTACTGACATTCTTCAAAATGTGCAAACAAATGGAATGACCATTTGTTAAATGAGGTTAAGTATTGATGAATTGTCATTTATGCATAAACTATCCCTTTGATAGAACTTACTATAGGCCTATATATAGCAAGTTACTAGAAATGTTAACACAATGCATCACTATATAAACCGCGTTTGAAATATATTTCTGAATAAAAAATGGAGCAGGTGCCATAGATATAGGGGATGAGAATTTCCCCTGTGAGGCCCATTTGAGTGACAGAGAAAGCCTGCTGTGAAAAACACTGTGGTTCCTATGGTTATCCAAGAACCCTGAAGCCACCAAAAAAACGCTTTGAATTATTTTCAGCTCAAAATGTATTTTATTTTTGAAGACCATTCCCCATCAGAGTCCTCATTAAATGTTTTTTTTTATCAAGAAAAATTATACATTTCTTTTATTCTCAATAGTTGATGGTTGAATAAAAAGAAACCTTAAGATATATAGAACGAGGAAGACTTCCAAGAAAAAAATTACATTTAAATGTTAATGTTCTTTATTTTTTAGCATGTCACCCAGCTCTTAATTGGTTTATTTTACTTAAATCCATCATAACTATAGCTTATTAAAACTATCATTTTAGATCAGTTATTCTCCATTTCTGCAATACATTTCATTAGCATCATCATGAGGACATGTTTTATTGTAGGCCAAGAGATAAATGATCTGAGACGACAGTCCATTCTGGCATTTCATTTGGGTCTGGTCAAGCTCAAGCACTAAAACTTTAAATTATAATGGAAATAAAGAGCTAATATTAGACATTGCTCAGTAAGGCATTGACTGTTAGCATGAAAGTTAATTTTTGATATTTTTAGTACATTTAATTAAATTATCACACTGATTTCTGTAGTTGTATGTTAGAGTGAGTCAAAGCAAAGAAGGCAGAACATATTCATTAACACCACTACACTGCTTATAATTGATTTCTTACCAAAATGATATCATTTCCTGTAGGATGCTGCCATGAATGGCTTTTTTGTTTAGGCTTTTTGTAAGAATGGGTTTTAATTTATTAAATATTACAAGACTATCAGGATTTAAAATGAGGCCACAGGGAGAAAAAAAGTGATATCAAATGTTTTGTTTGAAATATTCGAAACACCAAAAATATTTCTGTGAAAAGTTAGCGTGTAGTGGATAGTGATGATGATCACCCAGAAAATGACGTCATCTGTTCAAACCAAACCAAAGCAGTAAAATTATTTAAAATTTGATAAACTAATAAGATTAATATCCTTACAAAGTGTGAGAGTAGCCACTGTCCAATAAATTAATATATATTATTCACGACAATCTACTGCAACAACCAACGTGAGTGTTTCATCCGCTTTTGTTTCCTCCACGCGCACGGCGCACCAGCAGCTACCGTCCCGCACGTGATCTCCATGGAAACGTCATCAAGCTCTAGTCTAGAAGTCTTCCTGTTGATAGTTGTGCGTTAGCTGGTCATGGCAGCAAAGGTAAGCGCTATTCTCGCACAGAAATATGGTTGCTTTCTCCAGACGAAGGAAGCGCAGTGTTTGATTGTGAAGCATACGCATATGTCCAGAAAACATCATCGCAGCACACTGGAGAAACGCGGATTAACTGATAACCTTCAGTATACAGTAGCCGGTGTTGACAGAGCTAGTTAGCCTGCTAATGTCCTGTGTGAATGTTAGCGTCTGTCAATGACATTGAGACATAAGAGCATTTCAGTGAGTTCTGATGAAGGATCAAACCCCTGTAGATAGACTGTCCACTGTCCGTGGAGTGTTTGAATGGGTGTCATGGGGTTTACGATGCTAAACATCGCTGAAGTCAGCTGAAGTTGAGTTGCTTAGATGTAAGATGCATTTAATAATTATAATGACACCAATGGCCATCATTACCAGTGGAGTACATATACGAACTTATCCTAAAATAATGTTAATAGACAGAACTGGGCGTAATGTATACATGTAGATCTGTTATGTAGATCACTATGTGTTTATGTCTACAGGTAATGATAAAGAGGGCTGATCCAGCAGAGCTCAAGTCCATTTTCTTGAAGGTATGTCACCTTGTATCTCCCTTGAGAGTCTGTAAATAAAGGGATGGCAACGTAGCCCAACATCTATGAGATATACCCCTTATCTGATGTAACCATTTAATAAATTTCTCATTACAGAAAGAAAACCTGAGGATTAATTTAAAAATGCATCCAACACTGTATGGAACTCCTAGTAAGTTCACATGAATATACGAAGCAGAGTTCCTTAAAAGCACGAGAAAAAACTTTGCATGAATAACTTATTTTAAGGAATAAATCTAACAGCAAATTGTCAAAAAAACTAACACATGCTTAATTAATATTCCTTTCAACAATCAACCTGGTTTACCATCTGGATGATGGTAAAAATAATGTTGTTTTCATTCACGTTGTCCTTAACTGTGAACATCATTTTTCTTTGGTTATTCTGTCTCGGGTTTTTAATACAATATTTTTATGATTACTATTGTGATCTATGCAATATGTGATTTGAGATGTGATAGGCTACATTTCATGGAATACTACATTGTACATTGGAATACTAAGTTTTCTCGTTTATCATGCTAGTCTGCAAAATCTATTCTGTACTGCAGTGTCCTCAGCATTAAATATATAATATTAGCCCAGCTTTCTTTTCCTTCACAGTATGCCAGTGTGGAGAAGAATGGAGAGCACCACATGTCCCCTGAGGACTTCGTGTCAAAGTTCCTCCATGCACAGACAGACATAAGGCTGTCCAAGGAGGCCACCGTTCTACTGGCAGGCGTTCTGGACCAGACCAAAGATGGGTTAGTATTTATTTCTATTGCCGCTGATAAAAGTTTGAGTTGCACTTGAACCGCAGGTTTTAGTTTAAAAAACAAATCAAACCAACACACAGTTTAAATGTGTGTTTTTCATTAATAATTCACGACTTGTGTAAATTACAGTTCATGGTTCATTTGATTCATAAACAAAGCATCTGCTGTGAAATGGATGTGGATTATGCGGCGGTATCTTCCGCTTTTAATCCTGCATTAGGATGAAGGGTCAGACATCTTAACACACCACACTTTGTTCAGGTGCCGCTCCTTTCAGGCAGCACGGCTCGGCCCCCTTTTGCATTAATATGTATGCTTTTAATGATACATAATGATAGCCAATGATACGCAAGCGTAAGTCCAAAAAGATTGTGCGTTACCATGGCAACCAGCCGGGCCGCGTGCATGTGGTCATGCGGCACGCATTATTAGGGCTGCCATAGACCGGGAGAGGTACACACGCACTGTAATTGCCTGTGCCATTCAGCTCTCGTTGCTTTGTGCGACTTTGAGGATGGATAAATTGCTGCATCTCAGCTATTAACGGATAACTATTAGGGAATCATGGCTTGAGCTCTCTTTCAGAACATGATTTTTTTTATTTATTTGCAGGGCTTTGAGGGGAAAAAAATAGGGGGATTGTTTGATTTAATCAAGATTATGTTTTTCGGTTTATCTTTGGATTTTTTTGAATATTATTCACACAATGCATGTAGGTTACTGAGCTAGTTAAAGAAAGATCCGGATATATATGGATTTCTGAGGTTTGGTTGTAGTGGCGGCTGTGGTCAGGAGCTTCATGCCGTCAGGATTTGGGAATGTTGCAAATGAATAAATGTTCATTTCGAGGCCTTCGTCCCAGAATTGCAATGAGAAAGGTCTAACAGCAGTTCATATTTTTGAAGCTTGCTATACTATTGAAATGTATTCAAAATCATAAAGCTTCAAGCGCTAAAAGCTCTGTTTGTGTGGGTGCCGAATCCAATGTTTTTTTTTTTAGCTAACACCAAGTGTTTTACAACCGAGGTAGGTTTTCATCTGATTGAGATGATTCACAGGTTATCTCTGTTTCATGAGATGGATACAAACAGCATGATGCATTTTCTACCTCCTCCTGAGCTGGAATAAATCAAGTGATATGGTGACATCCATCAGGCACTGAATCACTTCTCCTTTATTCACTCAGCCCTGTTTGAGCTGCATCCTGCCAACGGTTCTGAATCAGTCATTCAACACATGTAGACTTCCCTGCTGATTCAAAGATCTAGCAGACATTCTCTCCTTCTCTGCCTCTATCTTTTCTCCCCTCTCCATTTTTTGATGGAAAAACTCCTCAAGTGTGAAACTCCGTAGCATCTCGGGGGTTAAAACTTTGTAAAGAGCGCATGCTGAGAAAATGGCAGTCCGTGCCCATGTGGTTTCAGGCTGGTCTGAGGTATGCACTCAGGGAAAGCTAAACCAGCCCGCGTCCCTCCGCATCTACGCTTGTCAGTGACAATGACAGGGCCAGAGCTTATTGAAGGTGCTCTCTCTTCACCTGTCATGGATAAAAGCTACAACGCTAAACCACTGAAATAATAAGTCTGTAAATAGTGTTTCTGGTAAGGACAGTGTTTACCAGCACCTCTCGGTTGTAGAAACAACACAATTTAAAGGTGCGTGGCCCCCTCTGGGAGATACAAGGAAATGCTTTTTACAAAAGTATTTCAGTTTTGATTAGCGTAAACATTGAAAATTAATAGCAGCATAAGGTTATGTAACCAAATGTATTGGTTTTTACAGTATGTTCCTCTTCTAAATTTTCATTGCTCACCAAGACTGCACAAAAATACAGTAAAAACAGTAATATTGTGAAATATTATTACAATTTAATATAAATGTTTTCTATATTAAAAGATTTCAAAGTGTAATTTATTTCTGTGATGCGAAGCTGAATTTTCAGTCTTAAGTGTCACGTGATCCGACTCCGAGTTGGTTCTCAAAGTATTTCCCATTATTACCAATGTTAAAAGCAGTTGTGCTGCTTAACATTTTTGTGGAAACCATGATACATTTTCTTTGATGAATAGAAAGTTTAAAATAACTGGGCCTATAAATCTTTTGTAACATTATAAATGTATTTAATGTCAATTGAATGTGTCCTTAAATAAAAGTATTAATTTCTTTCAGAAAACGTTTTTTTTTTTTTTTTTTTACTGACCCCAGACTTTTAAATTGTAGCATATTTAACATTTTCCAGTTTTTGTTATGTTTACCCAAAGTTCCACATGAATTGTTCTCATTATTAAATCGTTTCAGTGTCATATTTGAAGAAACATAAAACTTTTTGCATTCCCCATGTTACACTTCTGGTTCTGTGCCATTTTAGTTGATGGTTGGAAAATGTTCTTTGTCAGGCTTATTATTTGAGCTTCGGTTTAGTTTGTTTTACATGGCTACGGCATCTTAGTGTGTTTGTGTACCAGTGTAATTGTTCTCTAGTAGTCAAGGAACTGCTAATCAACCATCATAAGCCTCACGTCTGGCATGGCGCTGGGGAAACTACATGCACAACTCATTTTTGTGTATGTTGATTGGAGGGCATTTAATGCAGATACACTCCATAATCAATTACAGTGACCATCAAGATCTGAAATGAAAGCGATACCATCTGGTGATTAGAAGTGCCTCCTTGCCTTCCAATGGTTTCCAATGTCAGAGATGCGTTTTAATGCTGCCTTCACGTGCTATTGGAAATGTCCTACTTCCCACTTCTGAAGTTGTGATTACGAGCTCGTTGCTCGGTGCTTTGTTTTTGGAAAGAACAGGAATCATGGAGGACACCAGGTTTATTCTTGCCTATTTATTAGGAAAATCTTATTAAAGACAAAATGCTATTTAGTGTCACATTCATTGACAACCACAAACATTCACCACTCTATCTAGATAGTCAGCTTGCTGGAATTTCAGACAAATACAGGCTATTTTCATATAAAACATACATACAATATGCTTCAAAGGATTATTCATAAATATGCACTACTTTGACGATAAGGCGATATAGCTGTTGTGGAAAAAAATAGTAAAGAATACCAAACACAGTAGCAGTCATTCTCCTCTCTGCCTTGTTTAAAGTTTATGACCCGCTCAACTCAGTAACTCAAAATTATGCTGCTTTAAACAATTATGATGTTTCTTAGGGAAAAATTGGACATGAACGCTCCCTCTCAAGTCGTATTTACCAGTGGGAAGCTTCGAGATAATTTTGATACCCAAGTTGAGCGAGCCATAAGCGGAGGGGAGAATGACTGCTACTCTGACTCGAATTCTCAACAAGTTTTTTCCCACAACATCTACATCGTCTTGTCTTGTCGGTAAAGTAGTGCATATTTAGGCTACATATTCTCACCTAAAGGATTATTAGGAACACCATACTAATACTATGTTTCGCCTTCAGAACGACCTTAATTCTACGTGGCATTGATTCAATAAGGTGCTGAAAGCATTCTTTAGATATGTTGGCCCATATTGATAGTTGTTGGAGATTTGTGGGATGCACATCCAGGGCACGAAGCTCCCGTTCCACCACATCCCAAAGATGCTCTGTTGGGTTGAGATCTGGTGACTGTGGGGGCCATTTTAGTACAGTGAACTCATTGTCATGTTCAAGAAACCAATTTGAAATGGTTCGAGCTTTGTGACATGGTGCATTATCCTGCTGGAAGTAGCCATCAGAGGATGAGTACATGGTGGCCATAAAGGGATGGACATGGTCAGAAACAATGCTCAGGTAGGCTGTGGCATTTAATCGAAGCCCAATTGGCACTAAGGAGCCTAAAGTGTGCCAAGAAAACATCCCCCACACCATTACACCACCACCCACCAGCCTGCACAGTGGTAACAAGGCATGATGGATCCATGTTCTCATTCTGTTTACGCCAAATTCTGACTCTACCATCTGAATGACTCAACAGAAATCGAGACTCATCAGACCAGGGAACATTTTTCCATTTTTCCAGTGGAGATGAGTGGTACCCGCTGGGGTCTTCTGCTGTTGTAGCCCATCCGCCTCAAGGTTGTGCGTGTTTTGGCTTCACAAATGCTTTGCTGCATACCTAGGTTGTAACGCGTGGTTATTTTAGTCAAAGTTGCTCTTCTATCAGCTTGAATCAGTTGGCCCATTCTCCTCTGACCTCGAGCATCAACAAGGCACTTTCGCCCACAGGACTGCCACATACTGGATGTTTTTCCCTTTTCACACCATTCTTTGTAAACCCTAGAAATGGTTGTGCGTGAAAATCCCAGTAACTGAGCAGATTGTGAAATACTCAAACCGGCCCGTCTGGCACCAACAACCATGCCACGCTCAAAATTGCTTAAATCACCTTTCTTTCCCATTCTGACATTCGGTTTGGAGTTCAGGAGATTGTCTTGACCAGGACCACACCCCTAAATGCATTGAAGCAACTGCCATGTGATTGGTTGGTTAGATAATTGCATTAATGGGAAATTGAACAGGTGTTCCTAATAACCCTTTAGGTAAAAGTCATTTGAAGTGTATTGTATGTTTTATACATGGTGAAAATAGACTGTATTTGACAGAAGTCTGCAAGCTGACTATATAGATATGGCAGTGAATGTTTTTATGGTTGTCAATGAATGGGGCACTAAATACGTTTTGGTTTTAATAAGAATTTCCCAATAAATAGGCAAGAATAAACCTGGTGTCCTCCAGGATTCCTGTTCTTTCCAAAAACACTTGAACGCAACAAGCTCATTATCCCGACTTCAGAAGTGGGAAGTAGGAATTTTCCGATAGCACGTGAAGGCAGCATTATCCCAGAGCTTCCCAGTGGTAAATACATCTTGAGAGGGCGTTCATGTCCACTTTTTAACTAGGAAACTTCCACTGTGGCACGTGAAGGCAGCATAATCACTCGCTGAGTTTTGTCAGACTTTTCTTTTTGCAAAAGCTCCAGCATCGGTATCATCTCTCTTTGCATTTTTGTTTTTAATCATCGACGCCTGGGCCCAGCGCATTGCCTTTGTAGCTCTCCACCCACTCTGGAACAGCAGGCTCCTGTTCTCCTACTGTCAGCTTAGTTAATAAAAGAATTACTCTTGACTCCACAATGTGGCTGATTTGGCATGCTGGAAGCGCACAAATTCTCAGTTCCTTTGAATTTCATCAGTAACAAAATTAATTAGAGTGGCCACGAAAATGTAATCATTGCTCCCTGGAAATTGAAATAAATTAGAGATGCATGCATTGGGACTGCTCGTTAGCAGTGACCTCGAGTAATTGCTGTATCCATTTGTGAAATTCATAATGGAGTTGAGGCAACTTTGAACTGCGCTTAAATAAAGACTAGATTGCACGGTCCCCAGGGTTTCCTATGAATGCTGAAATTGGTTATTTGATGAGGTAGGTACGCGTGAGTGTGTGTGTATGTGTGTGGGCTTGTGTGCATGTTTATGTGTTTTCTGATGTCATGCTCTCCATTATGATTCAAACTTTTAGTCATTTGCAGAAGTAGTGTTGTTAGCGTTCCCCTTTTATTGATATCATATTTTTAATCCTTCTGTTGGTTTACTAGATTATTTGTCGAACAATAGCACCCATTTACTGTAAAATCAGCACACATATAGGAACTAATGAAATAATCTTAAAATAGTGCCAAATATACGAAGGCTTCTCGAAATGTGCAGTGGCAATCAAAAGCACACCAAATAAATTTCGTAAAGTACGAATTTCCATTTATGTCATTATTTTATAAATAAATAAATTTTTAACTATGTATATTTTTGTTAATATACTTATATATTAATTTATTTCAGACATTAAGTATAAACCTGTACATCAATCATCTATGTGTGTGTCCTTTTATTTGTATACATGTATACCAGTAATTCTTCCTGATCATTTCCTTACTGTACGGCTGCATGACTTTGTTGATTCTCTTGTAATCACATGATTTACTGAGTTCCCAACCATTCTGGGGGTTTTATATGAACTGGTCCCATTTCCAGTAAGGTAATGACATTTGACAGTCAAATTGGAAGCACTTCAATCAAGATTGGGATCACTGAAAAGCCTGTTATGTCAAATTGTTTTGTCATTCACTTAATCTCTGGGCCTAGAATTGAAGCTGGACTGTGTGTTTAGATGTTTTGTACATAATAATTTTAGGCTGATAATTACAGTTGAACAAATCACTCAAGTGTCAAGTGTTCACAATGAAAATATGTGCTACCTTTTTTTGTTTGGCGACGAGAAGCAGTAATCAGCGAGTGATACCCTCTCATCATTCAATAATGTAATGCCAGGCTGGTGGAGTGAAGTGTCCACGATATGTAGGCTGTAAGTCTGTTTGTCTCCATCAGGTTGATCTCCTTCCAGGAGTTTCTGGCGTTTGAGTCGGTGCTGTGTGCTCCGGATGCTCTCTTCATGGTCGCCTTCCAGCTCTTTGACAAAACTGGAAATGGCGTTGCCACTTTTGGTAAGTGTACAATGCTCTTTATAAAACAGAGGCTTGGAATTCTGATTGGATGAGCTGTTGATAAAAGTTCACCTGTGTCCGCCGCACACATTCTGAAAAATGGGCCTAGCTGCTGTGTTGCTTGGCAATGTCAAACAGCCTACGAGAATTAGCTTTATTACTTTGCAGAAAAGCTGTTTAATATGTTAACTATTACATCACTTTCTGTAAGAACAACCGTTTGGTTTTGGATTTGCACGTTTAAATGATAAAAGGGTTGCACTTTATTACAGTACGTGTACTTGCATGTGAAAAGTTTTTTGGGTTCATTTGGTTTGGTTTCTTTCTTTTTTGTTTTTAGTTTTGTTTTGCACATTTAAATGATAAAAGGGTTGCACTTTATTTCAGTATGTGTACTTACATGTAAAATGTTTTTTTGGGTTTGGTTTGGTTCTTGTTCGGTTCTGTTTTTTGTTTGGTTTTGCACATTTAAATGATAAAAGGGTTGGACTTTATTACAGTATGTGTACTTGCATGTGAAATGTTTTTTTGGGTTTGTTTGGTTTGGTTCTGTTCTGTTTTTTGCTTAGTTTTGTTTTGCATATTTAAATGATAAAAATGGCTGCACTTTATTTGACATGGACTTGCATGTACTGACAGTGTACTTACCTAAGAAAATACTGGGTGATATAAGGTAACTACAGGGGTTAAGTTTAGGTTTAGGTTCATGGTTAGTACCTAGTTATTACCCAGTTAGTAGTACATAGTATATATGGGGTATAGGACTGTAAAATAAAGTGCCACCATAAAAGTTTTTAGTATTTTTTTGGTTTAAAGTTTTAGGTAAGCTACTTCACTTTCTATAAGAACACTCTTTTTGTTTTTGTTTTGCACATTTAAATGATAAAATGTATATTCAGTATATATTGTGTATAAGTATAAATGTATATATTTAGTTATGTTATGTATAATTAGTTTTAGTATATATTTTTAAGATTTTTTAAGAATTTAAGATTGCAGCTTCATCACAGGAATTTCAATTCATTTGAATTTCCTTCACATGAATTGCCATATTTTGGCCTAATTATCACTGATTGTATCAGCTGAAAGCCTAAATCCAATTAGGTTATCGAGTTTAACTCCAAAGCATCTTATGTTCAGTCGCCGGCCTCAAAACAAAGGCCTAATGTGAAGTACCGGTGGTCTAATCTGAATTCCTGCTTGGACAGACAGATTCCTGTCACTTAGCGAAGTCCTACTAAATCAGTTGAGGTAAAACGCTTTATACGGTTTATTCAGCCACTTTAAAATGCAGATCGATTTCAAACATAATACGATCAGTATAATCTTCTGTTGTACATTCATTGCGGTTATTTGATAAGAACAAAGGATTTTAATACATCAATAGTTTGAAATGCTGCATTTACAGTTACATTCATGTTTGCAGACGAACTTGGCTCAAGAAGAATGCATGTGTGTATCTCATGCGTCAAATTTCCCTAATTGACTTAAATAGTCTAATTTGCCTTTTGTAGGCGAGACCTGTCAGATCAGCTCATTTCAAATGCACTACCCAAAGTGCCTAGGCGGAGAGAAAGAGACTTTCATCAACCTGTTTAGTCAATAGGGAATAAGATCAGATAATGCATGCACATATGCGTATTTCATATACATATGACGCGGTTATTTAGATGTGCTGTTCAAAGGTTTCTTGTCGCTCATGTCGTCAGGTTGAGCTGTTATGAGAATAGGCAGTATTTGTCTCATACACCTGTTTTTCAACTGCTTCAGTCACCTCAACATAAATAGCAAATAACTTCTGACTAAGATTATGGTCATGTCAAAATCACTTTATTGTGATGCACTACAGAGGGTAGGAAAATGAAATGCCGCTCTGTGTTAAAGCGAACAGGAGCCTCCCGTTTATAACCCTCTTAATGTCATTAAAAGCATTAAAGGTCTCTTGCTGTTACATTAAACAGTCTTTTTTCACCATTTAATAAACCCTGTCATTGCAAGTCATATTATGAAGGGTTATTTTTTTATGGGTTTGGAAAATTTTGGTTTTAATTAATGAATGTCTAGCACCCCCCCCCCCCCCTTCAACTTCAATTAGGTGAATTAGAAGTAATAAACTTGCAGGCTGCCATGCAACTCCAAAGCGATATAACGAAAGAAGGACTGAGAAGTGTTGACAGGTTCATAAACACTGATAAAATAAAGGTCTGGGCTGGCTCCACAGTGGAACTCTGTTGTAATACTATAAAAAGCATCTGCTGTACGACTGCTTACTGTACATAATTTACCATCAATTGGAAAAAATCTAGTTGTTGCGCTCCATGACGAATGTTTCTCGGCAAAATTTTCAATCCCGTTTTTCTTTGCTTTTATTGTCACGTTCTTCAACGCAAAGATGTATTTTGCCACTTCTGGTTAGTATTTTTTCCCTAATTTGATAAAATTGTTTAATTACTAGTGCTGTCAAGTCGATTAATCTCAATTATCGCATCTAACATAAATGTTTGTGTGTGTACACAGACACAATATACATGTATAGAGAGCCTTAGTCCCGCCATCAGCTTCCGGCTCATGGGACCTTATTTCGGAAAAAATAGCTATGTGTCGTAGTCAATGGCAAGAGACAACTTATCTTTTTATTCCGTCTGAACTGTGCCCTGAATTTCACATATGATGTTTGTCAATTTAAAAGATAATTCTGAAAGTCAAAAACGCCACAGTTTGTCATAAAACAGAAGAGTAATATTACATTTATGTGAAAATCGCACAATGAACTACATCTCCTGGGATGCGAAACAACGAGCAAGATCCGCTGCGCGTGTGTGTGCAGTCTGGTACAAAACACTCAGGCATGACGGCGTAACGTTACGATTATAATGTAAGACTATAGAAACAATGAGAGACATTAGCCTCGGTAAAGTTAGCTTCATTCATTGAGAGAAAATGTGCACCTTTGGGGTTTGTAGTCTTTGTAATTACGTATTTTCACAGTCTTATACCTCAACGGTTTTACATCAAACTGCGACTTTCTTTACTTTAAAATGTATCTTTTAAATTGACAAACATCATATGTGCAATTCAGGGCACAATTCAAACGAGATCAAAATATTTGTTGTCTCTCGCCGTTGACTACCATACAATATTTTTCCGAAATAAGGTCCCATGGTGGTCGACCGGAAGGGGAGGGACTTAGGCTCTTTATATATCATCTCAAGAGTGTGTTAATCACAATCATCGCATCATTTATGTTTGTGTGTTTGTGTATATATATTTACACACACACGCGAACATTTAGATTATCGCATCTAACATAAATGTTTGTATATATATATATATATATATATATGAATGTTGAATGTTTGTGTGTATATATATATACACACACACAACATATATATATATATACACACACACAAACATTCATTGAAACATGAATGTTTGTGTATGTGTATATATATATATACATTCATGTTAGATGCGATAATTGCGATTAACACACACTCACTCAGTCACTCACTCATATATACTGTATATATATAATATATATATATATATATATATATATATATATATATATGAGTGAGAGAGAGTGTGTGTGTTTATATACTGTATGTAATATATATATATATATATATATATATATATATATACATACATATTATGTATACAAACTGTTAGATTTGATTAATCGCGATTAATCGTTTTGACAGCACCATTACTAATTATATCATCAGCATGAACAGATGAATTGAAAAATTAACATGATTATCACAATGTTTTAGTGTTTTTTTTTTTCTTGATGATCATATTTTTAGGCATGGTTTGAAATGATCCAAAGAGCAAGAACATCTGTACAATGTCACATTCAGTGATTTAAATGTACTTATTTACATCAAAAAGTGCAGAATCTTAAACATTTTTAGTTACTTTTATTATATGATACATTACATGATATTTATTTTGATATTTTTCAAAATGTGTTAAGTTTGCGTATTTCCATGTTTAAATGCAAATAAATAAATCAGTTGGATGCCTTGTGTTTCTAAATAAGCCTTGCTTTTAGACATGTTTTGCTTGTACAATCATAAAAATCGTAACAATGCATAGTTTTTGTAACTCAATCCTCAACATTTCTGACGCCAGGCTTATCTCTGATTTCAGAGGATGTGAAACAAGTTTTCAGTCAGACCACTATTCACCAGCACATCCCCTTTAACTGGAACTCAGAATTTGTTCAGCTTCACTTTGGCGCAGAGAGGAAGAAACACCTCAACTACGGGGAGTTCACTCAGTTTCTGCTGGTGGGTATGACTGCTGTCTAATTTCTCTTTCTTCTCCCCCCCCCCCCACGTACACCCGAACGCACTCACTTTCATACTGTCCCCATCACATGCTTTACTTCACCGCCGCAGAGCTCGGATCGATGTAATGTCTTGTTTGGTGTGTTTTGTGCCTGGTCTCGCTTAGATTGACACACAGATCTGGGCACGTTTTCCCGCAGCACAGCGAGGCATATTGACCTAGTTAGTCATTAATGAAACACTGGAGTTATATTCCTACACCAGCATTTGTTTCTCATTAGGTGACGTAACCTCAGAGCAGTCTAGCGATTCCCCTAAAACAGGTAAAGTTTTTCTACAAGAAGAATAGCAGTATTCCTTTTGTATTTGTGGTGTGCTAGAAATTTTCCAATATAGCGTCTAGACCTGAGAGTGGGCAGAGGGGGGTGTGAGGGGTCGCCGTGCCAAGTTTGCATCTACGCTCGCTATATCTGAATGAGCTTTTTATATTGAACCTAACTTGGACCAGATGGGTTTTGGGAAACTACGAGAAACACGCCGATATTGTGTTTGTGGCCAAGACGGGATTAATTTTGTTTTTGGAACTTGAAAAATGATGAAAAAACACATTTCCTGTTTCATTTATTTCACTTTCTTTGAATTGGCAACTTTTTTTTATGGTCACTTGGAGTGATTTTCAAAATCGATTTCATCCACTTCAGAATTGATGCAGCATCACTGTAAAAATGAACCAGCAGCTTCACGGATGAGAACGTTTAGTCTCAATGAAACCCACAAATTCTCAAAATTATTTTCCTTTCTTTTATGAATGGATGCTTTCCAACACTGACGCTGTGCGAATATGTCCTCCTGCAAATATGACACGTCGGAAATCTGGCTCTTCCGTCAGTTTACACCTTGCCATTTCTTTAACCTGAACATTTATGATGACATCTTTAAGTCCGTTTCGCTGTTTAAATGCCAGCGCTTGAATTGAAATAATTGACCCAAACAGAGGTGCCTCATCAAATGTTTTTATTTGAATCCAAAGACAATTAAAGGCACAATAAATGCCATGGTGGTTTCAATATTGGCTTTCGGAGGTTCTGTTCTACTCCTGCCTAAATAAAAACCATGCTTCTGAAACACTCACAGTTGCAGTAATTTAAGGTTTTAAGAGACTAACTGTAAACTGTAAGGTTCAGAGCCACAATTATTATGCAATTCCACATGCCTGTGGCTGGAGCAGCACAATGCAATACAGATATTATTTACCTCTACCTCTGCTCTTGTTTTATTTACAGTGCTACTGGCATTTCCTCCTTGTTTAAAAGACTGTTTGTGAGCATGCACAAGAAGTATTTTTCCTAAATAAATCGTCTTTGTTTTTCCAGCAACTGATTTGCAAATATTTAAATAAGTAACTTGATGTGAAAAATAGGTTAATAATAGGGAAATTACCTGTAACAATCTGCAACTGTGTTATTTTAGTTTTTTTTTTATGAGGAGAGTGACATTTCTATAATATCAGAAATAGGTTAGCACGGAGTCTGACATTCAAAGCTTTGACATTTTCTCTAATAGTGTTTTTTGCGCAGGCGTTCCTTCTATACGAAGACACGTCCGTATTCGCACAGCAGACCTATATTTCCAGTATTTTGGACTGGCTGCTCAATTATGCTGGGAGAGAGAGAAACAACTCAAGAGCCTGAGATGTGCAAGAAAGTCATTCCCGTCTCTTGATGCGATACTGCAACCGTTACAGACGAGTCGCACAATCGACAAAAAATGAGAAAAAATGTTTCCTCTCCATCAGATGTCTCAAAAGCGAAATAAACAAATACATAAAATATGTATGTGGTGGAAACATCATGAACAATAATTGTGTGTTTTGATCCCAAAAAGCATTGTCTTTGTAAGTAAAATATTTACGATTTAAAAAAAGAATATAATTAATATATATTCAATAACATATTGATGCATTTTTATTCAGATCAATGCACAGGGTTAATTTAATCTTTATATTTATTAACGTATATAACATTTTATATCATCTGGAGCTGATTTGACCTTTTAAAGAAATTATTTATTTGCATTTTTACATAATAAATGCCAGCGGTACAGTATAGGCTACACCTCACTTGGTTTATGTTATAAAATCACATGCATGTAATATATCTATATCTGTTGCAGATACACATTGACATTCACTGTGTTGCAGGAGATGCAGCTTGAACATGCCAGACAGGCTTTTGCACAGAGAGACAAGGTCAAGACCGGCGCCATCACGGCTCTGGACTTCAGGGACATCATGGTGACCATCAGACCCCACATGCTCACACCATTTGTGGAGGAATGCTTAGTTGCAGTGAGTTTGGTTTTAAATATGTTTTTTTTTTTCCACATAAACCACCGGGAGATATTTGTTTGCAAGGTGTAAGCGTGTGTGAGCAGTCTGTTTTATACACACTCCATGGAGTCTGTCATTTTCTCCATGATTTGTGACTCATAAACCTTGGGATTCTGGGAGATGTTTGTAAACACACAATTTCAAGGCCATTAGAAATAAATTAAAGACAATACGCTCGTCAGACCCAGTCTATACACCCAATCCTCTAATTTAGATGCCTTGCAAAACAAGACAGGAGGTATAAACATTTTATCACATCTACATAAAGGTTTATATATTTTTTTTTTTTGTGGCCAGGTTTATGCTGGGATTTTACTAATGACATCTTGGTTAAGGAAACTTCAGAGCAGGTCTGAGTTTTGTGGCTTCAGGTGGACGTCACCATTTCTGCAAAGCACACAGCGCCATCTAGTGAGAGACAATCCGCTTTCTCAAACCCGCTTAGGCCTCAAGAAGACAGCTATGCAAGCGCTCTTTCAGATATACTACACTTCAACCAGTCTCTAAAGGCATCAAACATATATTAAATATTTTCAATTTTAATGTTGAACTGCCTAACATTTTAGTCACTGCCTAGTTTTCTTTTTCCTCCCTCCTTTAATTTTTATGCCATCAGAGTGGCCGAGGCAGCGTTTACATCATGCGTTCTGTCAGATGCTATTTAAAGATTTACCTCATGTTAGTTTTCCTCTTTATATGTCCCTCTTCTCATAAAATAGCTTAATTAAAAATGGCCCTCAAGCTTGGATCCCTCTGAAATTGCCAGTGTGGCTCTCTGTGAAACACATGTATTTATTTAGCGCTCTGTGGGGTGGGAAATGCTAAAGATGTCGCCGCGCTGTAGCTTGATTAACGTTTGGCACTCCATTGAATTCTCAGCTATTTATCACCTCTGTCCCTCATAAAAGGATGTCTTCGTGCAAATGTCTGTGTGTGCGTCTGCCAATTTTGCAGGCTGCCGGTGGCAGTACGTCACATCAGGTCAGCTTTTCCTACTTTAATGGCTTCAACTCTCTGCTAAACAACATGGAGCTCATTAGGAAGATCTACACCACCCTGGCAGGCAACCGCAGGGATGTGGAAGTTACTAAAGGTTAGTGTTTTGTTTTGACTTGTCCTTCCTCCCCTGATTAGACTGAATGGCGCTGCGTCCGAATATGCATACTTCCATGTATAGTATGTGACAAATTGCTTAAACTTTATTATTACTCAAATAAGTACGGAGTAATAATAATTAACTATGTACTTACTATAGAGTTAGGGTTAGGGTTTGATTTAGGGCTAGTTACTTGTAATTATGCATCATTTGCTGTTATAACTATAGTAAGGACATGTAGTAAAGTGTTGTTCACTTTGAAATTAATTTTTGATAAAAAAAATCCTCAAGGGCATCCAAGATGTAGGTGTCTTTGTTTCCACAGTATTTTCAATTTTGATATTTTTTGGTATGTCAGTCATATAATGGAGGTCTGTGGGGTCCACCTCAGAGCATGCACAGAGAAGTCAAAATTAAACATGATTTAATGACTCGTAAATGTAAGTACACATTGATGGCCTAAGAAACGAAACGAGCGGTTTGTGTGAGAAAACCAACAGTATTTATCATTTTTACCTCTTGTAACCACAGCCACGTCCAAGTGATCTGAAGGCATGGGTGCTTCGGTCTGCGAAGTGTTACTCTTCTTTGTGAAGATCTAATTTCGATATATCAACAGACAACGTTGATTTTTTTTTTCGCAACCGCGCAAGAGATCACTTCCGGCGCTCTCTGATGGTTGCACAGACCAAAGCGCTAGTGATGGGAAGTCCGGTTCTTTTCCGCGAACCGGTTCTTTCGGACAGTTCGTTTTAATGAACCGGTTCAAAAAACCGGTTCACCAGTTCTTTTACGTCATCACGTAATGACGTCAATTCTATCATCCCGGCGGATAAAAATACTTCAAATTAAAGGCATTTGTAATCACAACTTCAGTTAAATAATAGCATGCATTGTCATAATCATCTTGGATAAGTTTCTTACATTTACATTTTGAAAACGAACCCTGCTGCAGCCTAGGCGATGTGCTAACGCGGATGTTTTACATGTTTTAAATATATAAAATGCATAAATGGTCTTCATCATTTTATTTGTTATTAAATAAACTTACATTTCGCCGATTCGCCCTCTCATTTAAGTCCTGGGTTCACCCGTACTACTGCGTGCTCATGTATCATCACAGGATCAGCCGGCCGAAAGAAAGTTCTGTTCAGAGACGGTGCTATCACGCATGCGCAGTATCTCCAGCTCGTCGGTTCTCCGTATCGAACGTGTCCGAAAGAAACAGTTCTCGGTTCTGTACTAGTGATTCAAGAACTGCAACAACCAGTTCTCGACTCGAGAACCATATAGCTGTGTGCTGAGCTGAAACCTGAATATACAGTCGACAAAACTAAAAAATCGATGCATGTCTGTCTCCAATATAGCCTTCTGTAGCCTATACAGTATATATACATGTTTATAATGTGTTAACATAACGAATTAAACATATATGTTTAATTCGTCATGTTAACACATTATAAACATTTACTAAGCAGTGCACCAAACCTTGGCAAGAGTTTACATCAATGATTTATATTGTTACTTAGAAATTAAATGAGCTGTTCCTGAAAATATTTTTTTAGTATAATAATAAATGTTTAGTAGTTTGACAGTTTTAGAATCCAATCGTTATTTCCAATCGTTAAAATAATACAGTGATACAGTAATGTGATAAACATATGTTTCCAAAATGTTTTATTTTGTTACACTTACTGATGTTCAACTAAAGACATGGAAACGTACATTTCGTCCCTCAGAAAAAAATGCACGCATGCTCAGCTCATCAACTCATCAGTTCTCAATATGTCGAACGTGTCCGAAAGAAACAGTTCTCGGTTCTGTACTACTGGGTATCCATCCGACCGCTGTACCTGTACGTTCGGTAGCACACGCATGCGCAGTATCAGCTGCTCGTGCTCATCACTTCTCTCAGCACCAGCATATGTCTCCGTTCAGTGAACTTTTTGAGTTACTGAATAAAATGTACTAATGGATATTGGTTTATTTCGATTCGGAGGGACTGTCAGGCATGTCTGAAAGTGAGTAACTTTAGTAACTTGTGGTTTAGCGCTGACGTAAGACGCGAACTGTTTCGAACGATTCAGTCCGATTTAGTGTACTGGTTCGACCGGTTCACTAAAAAGAACCGGTTCAAAAGAACGATTCGTTCACGAACCGGCCATCACTACAAAGCGCCCGTGCCTTCAGATCACTTGGACGTGGCTGTGATTACAAGAGGTAAAAAACGATATAAATACTGTTCGTTTTCTCTCACAAACTGCTCGTTTCGTGTCTTAGGCCATCAAGGTGTACTTGCATTTAAGAGTCATTAAATCATGTTTAATTTTGACTTCTCTATGCATGCTCTTTGAGGTGGTGACCATAGACCTCCATTATAGGACTGATAGACACGAATGGTTTGACCTAAAAATATCAAAATTTAAACTACTGTGGAAACAAAGATACCTACATCTTGAATGCCGTTGAGGTAAGCGAAAACATTTCAAAAATTAATTTCAAAGTGAACTATCCCTTTAAGTTTATAAATGAGCCAAGTTGTATGCCTGAATTCATAGTATTGATAAAACAGTAGGCGAAAAGTACCTGGATGACCTACTTTTGCATAGGATGGACTGTCCCATGAGGCAACGGGAGAGGATTTGTGAATGGCAGCGAAGCGCCGCAGCTGACGCCATGACAATGTCTACATGGTGGATGTATTATGTTCAAATATCATTCAAAGAACATACTTTTTTAAATGGTTGTGAAGTAAGTTTCAAACCAAATACTATATGCGATTTCGGACGCAGCGTGGATGTGCCACGAAAAACACGATGTTACCCACAATGCAGTGCTGAAGATATCTCTGTTCGCTTGTCATGTATACAGTATGTGTTTTGTTGAGGCAATATAATTATTGTTAACACTTTACAATAAGGTTCATTCTTTCACATTAGTTAACTACCTTAGTTAACATGAACTAAGAATGAACAATACTTGTATTAACTATTAATCTTAGTTAATATTAGTTTCAACATTTACTAATACGTTATTAAAATTAATATATTAATATTATTGATTAATTAGTTAATGCACTGTGAACCAACATGAACAGACAATTGAACAGCTGGATTTGTTTTAACTAACATTAATAAATAACAAGCATTAATAAATACTGTAACAAATGTATTGCTCATTGTTAGTTATTACATTAACTAATGTTAACAAATGAACCTTATTGTAAAGTGTTACCATAATTATTTGTATTATATAACAATAATTATAATATCATTATCAAATATCATTTTATCTAAATAAATGTGTAATTTTAGTATTTAAATAGTACATCTTGCGCAGATTCATTACATTTTAAAAACTATTTACATTTTTTTACATATTATATATGTTGTCATGCACTTAAATAAATTGTGTAATTTAAAATAAATATAGAATGTTATCTCTCTCTCTCTCTCTCTCTCTCTCTATATATATATATATATAAATCTATATTTATCTGTGTATATATAAATCTATATTTATCTGTATATATATATATACAGTATATATATATATATATATATAAAAATTGCTCAATAATTTTTTACATTTATTTATTTATTAACAACTCATCTTTAGCTCATTAAAAGAAGAGAAATAGCTTTGAAAAGCTGTCGGTAGCCCACCAAGGAGTGCATTTTTGAAACAAATCCCCCAAAACCTTTAAAAACCTTTGGTCTGTGTCTCCCTGGCCAACTACTGACCTGTGAAACAGCCCTCATAGTCTGGCTGCAATGAAGCTCTGCGTCTTGGACACACACACTCCTGCTGAACACACCCCGGCTGCGATGCTATCAGCCCTGTGGAGACCGGGGCCAGGGGTGGGGAGGCTACATTTCCCACAGAGGCTGTAGGCCGCCATCGGGCTCCGGTGGGACCTGTGCGTGCGAATTTCCATGTCTACTTCTCTTGTTGACCCTCAGCTGATTGGTTCCGTATGTTTTGAGCGGTACGCCGAAGCATAGTTTCGTCATCGCAACAGCAATTGCTCTCCACCTGGGGAAAATAGGGAACACATCACCTCGTACACAAGCCGCAGATAGAAAAAAGAGCTCGCAAATGTAGAAAAACATTCAACGTGGCTCGGTTTTCTGGCCATTCTAAAGCAGAATTTCATCGCTACCGATCACAACTAAGTTACTTTTCCATACCGATACTCGAAAGGCCAACTTTTTTGTAGAATCAAATATGATTTTTGGCACGTCCAATGCTCCTGGCGGCATGTTCCTCGCACTTATCGGTTGCTTGTGTTTGTTTTTGGAGGGAGTTAAAGAGACAGATGCCCTGCGTGATCTTTGATTGGAGCGTTCTTCACACTTCACAGCGTGTTTAAGGTCGGGGTAAGCTGAGCTGGCCTTCATTCAATAGGGCTCTGTGTAAGAACACTTGCTGCCTTTTTCAGACTAGTCACTCTATACCAGTGCAGTGGGAATCCCACTGTTAACTGGCCAGTGTTCATTCTGCTCATTACCACTACACTTAACCTGCACAACCAACTGATATCCTATACATTCCCGGACTCAGTGATTTACTAAATATATGAATGAGCAAAACAGATTGTTTCAAAGCAGCTTTACTGTGATAAACAGGACAATTATGATTAATGATGCAAACAGTGCAAATAGTGTTATAATTCAGCTGAAGTCAGATCAGCGTTGGTTCAAGAACTATGTGAAGTTAAAGGGATAGTTTACTTTGAAATTAATTTTTGGTATGTTTTAGCTTACCTCAAGGGCATTCAAGATTTAGGTGTCTTTGTTTCCACGGTAGTTTCAATTTTGATATGTTTAGGTCAAAACGTTTGTGTCTGTCAGTCATATAATGGAGGTCTATGGTCACCACCTCAAAGAGCATGCACAGAGAAGTCCAAATTAAACATGATTTAATGACTCGTAAATGTAAGTACACACTGATGGCATACGACACGAAACGAGCAGTTTGTGTGAGAAAAGGAACAGTATTTATAACGTTTTTACCTCTTGTTACCACAGCCACAAAGCGCCCACGCCCTCAGATCAGTTGGACATGGCTGTGGTTACAAGAGATAAAAACAATATAAATCCTGTTCGTTTTCTCACGCAAAACGCTCGTTTCGTGTCTTAGGCCATCAATGTGTACTTACATTTACGAGTCAATAAATCATGTTTAATTTGGACTTCTCTGTGCATGCTCTTTGAGGTGGACCCCATATACCTCCATTATATGACTGACAGACAAGAAAGGTTTGACCTGAAATTATCAAAATTAATTTCAAAGTGAACTATCCATTTAATCAATTATGGTATGATGTCATGTTCAGTTCTCAGGACAGTCATATCAATAATATTTAGTGTCTCCAACTAAGCAAGACAAAGGCAGCAAGACAGTGGCAAGGAACCCAAAATCCACCAGGTGACCGAAATAATAAAAAACCTTGGGAAAAACCAGGCTCAGTCGGGGTGCCTGTTGATTCCTGGCTGTATCACAAGTCAGATTATTGTAAAAATATGTAAATTATTTATGGAACAGTGATCAGTACAATAGCACTACTATTGCTTAAACCTTATAAAAACTTTAATTCAGGTAGCTTTTATTTTAATGAAACATACTGGAAGGCATGGTACACATAGTGTCGTTTTAAAAGACAATGATCATCTGAATCCCTTCATGAAGAGCCCTTGAACAAGACCGTTAGTGAAGGGAGCATGGCCACTTTCAGGAAGTAATTTTACTATTTATAATGTTATTCTGAGTGGCATTCATTCATTTTGAGGTAATAATTCTTTTGAGGTTTAATTTAAACCCTCAATTGTATACCTAAGTAGACTTAAGGACTGTTGAAAATATTATTAACATATTTATAGATGGTGCACAAATTGAGCTTATATTAAATTAAAGACACAAACAGGCAATATTTTACGTGAAAGAATACTTTTAACAGCTATAAATGCGAATTTTGCTCCTGCTTTTCCAAGGTAATGTTCTTAATTGACAATAAAGTGTCAGGGACGTACCTGTATTGCTTGATATAGGGTGTATGTGACAGTGCTGTCCTGCACTCTTCAGAGTGTTTACTTCAAGTGCTCTGCCCTTCTGAGGGAGTAGGACACTTTCAAACATAATTCAACCACTTCATACATCCACTAAAATGACCTTGCAACCATTTGGCACAAAGAATTTGCAAAAACGACTGAGAAAAGGTTTAGCATCATCTGTTTGCAGATGCCACTTGATTTAACATTGTTATTTAGTCGTATATTTTATATTATATGTGGCTCAAGTGGTCAAATGCAGTACAAATCAAAAGTTTGGGGTGAAAAAGTTTTTCTCTAGAAATTATTTGGTATGGATGCATTCATTTAAGTGACAGTAAAGACTGCATTGCTACAAAGAAAAAACTATGTATAGTTTTATATACACACATACACATTTCCACAAAATATTAATTCTCGCTGTTTTCAACATTGACAATAGCAAGAAATTCTTCTTGAGCAGCAAATCAGCTTATTATAAATGATTTTTTTAAAGATCATGTGACACTGAAGACTGGAGTAGTTATATATCGTTCAAAAAGAAAAGTTTACACAACAATATTGTATTTTTGATCAAATAAATGGAGCCTTGGTGAGCATTAGAGACTAAAACATTGTACTTTTTGGAACCACTGTATATCTCTGTGACTAATCATTAATTCATACAAATCACACAGAATAAAATCCCTCTCTTTCTCTGTTTTCCAGAGGAGTTCATCATCGCTGCCCAAAGGTTTGGCCAGGTGACCCCAATGGAAGTGGACATCCTGTTCCAGCTGGCCGACCTGTCGGAGCCAAGAGGGTGAGTCACCATGGCGACAGTCACCGTCTGAGAGCCTCTCCCCGTGAAGAGGAGGGCTCGAGGCTCAGCCATAACACTCTTCAGCTCCAGAGCCCTCTAGCCACTCTCGCCTTCTAAAAACGGCATTGTTTGACTTCTGTAATTATATGTGAAAAGTTTTCTGGTCTCTATTCTGAGTCTTGTTCTGGCAATTGCATAGTCGATGATACATGACTCTTCCTATTATTGTACAGCGGGAGGTTTTGAACACAGTCCAGCTTGTTCTAGCTTTTCTGCAGCATGTAGCGAGCACACATGTTTCCACACTACTGAACTGTAATGAGCTTGGAAGTATATTTACTAAATATCTGCTCTGAGCCGTAATCATGGTGAGCTAAACCCATCTTTTGGAAACCAAAGATATCGCATGAACATATTTGTAGAGTCAGATACCCTGACCTATGAACTGACTTATGACTCTGCTTGGGTGGGTCTTGTAATATCTCTGAAGTAAACGCTGATCTGAAATTGCTTTTTGGACATTATTATTTCTTTGCAATGTGATACTGCAATTGCCCAACTCCCTTTGAGTTAAGATTGTGAGGTTGTTACTTGTGAGGGCACACTATACCTACCACTCTTCCTCAAACGTCTTGAAGATGTTGTGCTCTGAAAAAGTTGGAATCTGTTTAGCCGTTTTAATATTTCTGCCTGTGTTTTTGCTGTCTACAGGCGTGTTGGTTTAGTTGACATTGAGATGATTGCACCTCTGGAGGAGGGAGCTCTTCCTTACAACCTTGCTGAGATTCAAAGACAGGTAAGACACAGAAACGGAGTGTAATCTTGTCTTAAAGAGGTCCTATTATGCTATTTTACATTTTCAACTTATTTAGTGTGTAATATTGCTGTTTGGGCTTGAAAAAGATCTGCAAAGTCACTCAAAAAGGCAGTTATTCTATATATCAAATTGAAAGACTCAAAAGACCAAGATTCCTTGTGAATAGAACATGCGCAGAACACAAATCACTATGGGGATATGCCGATACGCGTTTACATGACCAAAAATTCGGGTTAAAATCCGGGATATGAGCATATTCGGGTTTTTCCCGGTGTTTACATGGCCGTTTGCGACCGGGTTATTGCTTTTGTAAACGTAGTCACTGTTTCTAAACTCCCTGAAACGCCTCCATTGTAATCTTGAGTTTTCTTACGGGAACAAACAATATTTAAATAATTCCTGCCCAAGGCATAAGCAGAATAAAGGGGCAGGGCCTGGTTGAGTTAGTTAGTTAAATTCGTGTCATAGTAAGGGGCGGGATATTTAACATTCTTGGTTGACCAATCACAACAGTTGACCAATCTGTTAACAACATGTCCAGTTGACAAATCTGTTAACCACATGTCCAGTTGACCAATCAGAGCACATTGCGCTTTTCAGAAAGAGGGGCTTCATCAGACTGATCTCATGAAGTAGCGTGTGTATGACACGCCAATTCGTATTTCCATTTTTGGCAATCGCTAATCGCTATGAACGCCGTTGACTTAACGTTATTACTGTATATATACTGTAAATATATGACTTACCTCAACCCTGTCCCTAAACCTAACCGTCACTGGAGTTAATGGCATTTATGACTGTTCCCTTACCATCCTAGGAAAGAAAAACATAGCTCCCCAGATGTAGATTTACATTTTGCTTTGTTTTGGTCGGACATTTGACGGCGTGTACGGACACGCGGAATGACGCGGACGTTAATAGCGTAGACAAACACGCATACACGCGGATAGCTCAAAATGCGTCGAGATAACACGCCACTTGACTCGAAATTGGTGTGTGTGTTTACGCAAAAGTCATGATGTCATGTTGGCTTAATAGAAACAGGAACTAAACAGAGCTTTACTGACAGACTGGGAAAAGAGGAGCTGCAACAATGGAGAATATGTGAAAAATAATGTGTTTTTTGAACATTCAAGCATGA